GAACCTGGGACCCTTCAGTCCGCAGGCCGACGCTCTATCCACTGAGCCAAACCGGTTTCGGCAGTATAATACTATTTATATAAAAAGTTCAAAGATACATTAAACTGAACAATAATTTATTTGTAGTAAAACTATAATGAAAAATGAGGAATGATAAATACAAATTCAGAACAGGGGCTACCCTTTGGGAGGGACATGAACAGGAAGGGAGGGTACATAGAGTACTTCTGTAATCTTAGTAATGAAATGGTGAGTGCCACTCTCTACTTCTATTTATGATGTCTGCTTTTGTTCCTATAAGCCAGTGGTTCTCAACCTTCCTAATGCCGCGACCCTTTAATACAGTTCCTCATGTTGTGGTGTCCCCCAACCATAAAATTATTTTCGTTGCTACTTCATAACTGTAATTTTGCTACTGTTATGAATCGTAATGTAAATATCTGATATGCAGGATGTATTTTCATTGTTCGCGACCCACAGGTTGAGAACCGCTGCAAGCCCTCCTGTCCTGAAATTTTTCCATTAAGTTGCCTAAAAGGGAGCCTCCTTCACCTTTTCCTCTGAGCATAGATACTTATAATAAAGTCCTCTCATGCCACCTTTCCCCTCCTCTTGTTTCTGCTCAACATAAAGGTCCCGCCAGTTACTCAGATCCCTGCCATGTGTTCTTCCTCTGTCATCTTGGCAGCTAGCCCAGCATTTCGGTCACCAGTCATTACCCAGAGAAAGATAAAAATCATAGTTGTGGCCTGAACTGAGCCCTTTATCCTGCTAAAACAGAGGAGACATTTAAACTATCTATTGCCCCTTAAATTCTTAGAAGTTTTTAAATAATACAGCGTAAGCCTACCATATATGTGAACGTCTGTAATATCTTCTTTAAATCATAGGCATAATGAATATTTAAAAAAATCTAGGTTTCTAGTTTAAATAATCTGTATCTGTTTTTTTTAAATATTAAATATTCCCAATGAAATAGCTGCTTCTATTTAAATGGAGTTACTTACGTTGTTCTTCTAAAGTCCTTTTGAAGTGTGGGGTATTCTGGCATCTTTCTAATATCTTCCCAGTCTTTATCTTATAAAAAAAATATTGAATGTTGTTATAGGAAATAATGTGTTACTTTTATAAAATAATCTCCTAGTTACTTTAGCTAAATATATATATATTATACTTAAAAATATGCTTTTGAAAAGAAATGATTTTGAAATAGGACTAAATATTTTGAAAAAGAAAATAAATTACCTGCAGGAAATCCCATGACACTAAATATCCGATCGAGTTGATCATGATGAAAGGGATTGCTTGTTTTTATATCTTCCTGACGACAGTGAAAAATGGGCTCTGAAGTCAACAATTCAGCAAATATGCAACCTATTGCCCATATATCTACGAAGAAAGGAAAACAAGTTTTTGTACACATTTATTATACTTCTTTGGTTATAATTCCTGGTATAATCACAGCCTACACATAAAAATACTTTTCAGTAAAGCAATATACAAAATACAATAAGTGTATTAAGAAGACATGAACAGATGATTATCACACAACGCATTGAAAGCCAAATAAAAAAACATTTACCTGTGTATTTCCTGATGAAGATAAGCTTAGGAAACTCAATTTAGTAAGCAATGAATTTACTTTATATATAGGCAAAAGTCTTCCTAACCACTATTAGTAATTCAACTACTAAAGCATTCAACTGATAATCTATTACTCAAGATCTGATAGACTAAAACAATATCACCATCAGGTATAGCAATACATTCTTTAAAGCAATCAATTACATAACTATAGAGCAGAATGTCTGATTCCAACAGTAATACCACATCAAATTATTTGGAAAAAACTCAACTTTTGGCTGAAAGACTACCAACTTCAGTTTTTCAACAAATTGTAAGGTTCAGAAGTTGATAAATACAGAGGTAGACAGACACCAGTAGAGAGAGATGTTATCTAAATACACTCACTTAGTCAGGGGTGGGGAATGTCCAGTCCAAGGCTCTATAAGGCCTGCAAATTTGGTCTGGCACTTACAAGGCATTAAGGGTGAGTTAATTAAATGTTTGACCAAAATAGCAGGCTAATTTATCAGCTGATACCCAAATGGCCCTTGACAGAACACAGGTTCCCTACCCCTGACTTAGATGTTTCCCCAATCCTCCAATACCTCAGGATAAAGTTAGGCATCTTTCAAAGTTTTATTAACTATTTCAAACCACCACTTATTTTGATTTTATAGATTGAAAAACTGTAATTCAGATTCAGAGATTATATTCACAATGCTTTGTCAAATATATTAATAAATATTTTTAAAAAATGTAGACGGTTTCTATCTCCCTATGCCTCTCCCTTCCTCTTTCTCTCAAATCAATAAAAACATATTTTTAAAAAATTATCTTTATTTCTCAAAAAACATCTATTTTGATTTTAAAAGCAGAACATTTAATTATAAAATATTCATAAAACTGTGTTTCTCAAAGTGTGGGTTGTCAAAGTGTGTGGACCACATACAATAGAATCACCTAATGGTACATGTTAAAAATGGGCCTTGCCGGGCCGGCGTGTCTCAGTGGTTGAACAACAACCTATAAACCAGGAGATCACAGTTTGATTCCCAGTCAGGGTACATGCCCAGGTTGTAGGCTCAATCACTCCCCAGTAGGGGGTGTGCAGGAGGCAGCTGATCAATGATTCTCTCTCATCCTTGATGCTTCTATCTCTCTCTCCCTCTCCTCTCCCTTCCTCTCTGAAATATATATATCCAATATAATAAAATACTAATATGCAAATTGACTGAACGGTGGAACAAGCGGTCACTGTGACGTGCACTGACCACCAGGGGGCAGACGCTCAATGCAGGCGCTGCCCCCTGGTCATCAGTGCACTCCTACAGGGGGAGTGCCGCTCAGCCAAAAGCCCTGAGCCAGGCTTATGGCTGTCGAGTGCAGCAGCAGTGGCAGGAGCCTCTCCCACCTCTACGGCAGCGCTAAGGATGTCCGACTGCTGGCTTAGGCCCGCTCCCCCTGGGGTGAGTGGGCCTAAGCCAGTCGGGCAGCATCCCCCAAGGGCTCCCGGACAGCGAGAGGGCACAGGCTGGGCTGAGCGCCCCCCCCCCACCCAGTGCACAAATTTCATGCACCAGGCCTCTAGAGAGAGAGAGAGAGAGAGAGAGAGAGAGAGAGAGTGTGTGTGTGTGTGTGTGTGTGTGTGTATGTGTGTGTGTGTATTTTTTAAATGGGCCTGGCCTTACCATGGATTTTGTATAAGAATCTCTAAGAATATGATAGAGTTTGGTGGGGGCTCATTTAGTTTAACAGAGGATTTTGGCTGAATTTGCCTTTTCTTACTGGGAATCTCCCTTTTAGATATCGATTGTATCAGTGCTTGCTAAGAGTCCAACACATACAAATTTCTACTGTTATCACATCCTTTATCCCTATCCGAGCCCTGGGTTATCTCACATTCAATTATGTTCTAAAGCAGCCGTGGGCAAACTACGGCCCGTGGGCCGGATACGGCCCGTTTGAAATGAAAAAAACTAAAAAAAAAAAAAAAAAAAAAAAGACCGTACCCTTTTATGTAATGATGTTTACTTTGAATTTATATTAGTTCACACAAACACTCTATCCATGCTTTTGTTCCGGCCCTCCAGTCCAGTTTAAGAACCCATTGTGGCCCTCGAGTCAAAAAGTTTGCCCACCCCTGTTCTAAAGCATACCTATTACTTCCAACTAACACTCCCTCCTTCTCTGGCTCACTTTCAGTCTCTTCTTATCCTCTGGTGCCTTCTGTGGTTGCCTAAGAGATTTACTGTTCTCCATAGTAAGAGATCCAATAACAGAAAAAGCAAACATAAGCCTAGAAGTCTAAAAACACAGCCCTATGGTCAAAGTCACTCACTGAGTAGAGTCAGGTGCTGATTTTAACTCCTCATTCTTAGAACCACTCTATTCCTTCCATTTGCTTTTGGTAGTTCTTTCTTCACCCTTCACAGAACTGCCACTGTCAGTTGCTAACAGTGTGGCCTTGACACCTCTGAAACAGAGCTTTACTATGGGCTCAGCTGCCAGGGGAAGGGTCTACACTCTTCTATCAAATACATACTGGTTTATCTCACAGTGCTAAGGTTACTCATGGGCTCTTTTACTCATTTAATAAAACCCTTCAGCAGTATTTATGAAGTATTACAATATGTTAGCACTGTGCTAGTGTAACAATCCCCGGACAAAGTATAAATGTGTTGTGGGTGTCTGAATTTTGCAAAAGTCAGATCTCCCAATGAATGAGGACATTATTATATTAAAATTTTTGTTTCCCTTTTTACGATGAATAGGTTAATTATCAGTCTAATCTTCCAAATGTAAAAACTTGCTTTGTATTTCTTTGGGTATCACCAAATTTTTCATAAGGTTAACAGAAAGGATTGTGCTTACTAGTCTGTAAAAGGAAAATCTAAAGAAATATACTCCCTCCCTATCCTCTCTTTTTACCTCTTTTAAAGAAATCTCTAGATTTGAGGAAGACTCCTCTTCTTAACTCCCTTGGTTTGCAGCTGGATTCTCTGAGAACAATATAGTGACCAGGTAGCAAAATCTCTGATGCTTCTGTTCTAAAGCCAACTTTAAATCCTACAGAGAGTATGTTTATAACAGATTTTCCTACTCAGTTGTTTCTTTTTTTACCTGGAGAGATGGCACAGCTAATCTACCCAGAGTCTGTCTATTTTCTACCTTAATGGAGAAACTGCCATTCTGATAACTGTAATGGCAAGAGAGAAAGATTAGTCATAGTTTCTTGCTTAGGAAAGACTGATTAACTTTTCCCCAGATAGAAGGGGGCTCCTCCAACACCCCACTAATCCTGTGTTTCTGTTTGTGAAGAAACAATTCTAAACCTCTCTCCAGTTCTTCTGACCAATAGTAGGCGAGTGCAAAATAAAATTTACATGTTATTATTTCCATAGCAACTCAATGGACCAGATACCTCTATTCGCTGAAAGAAAATGCTTTCTTCTTTTAAAAGAACCATTTTCTCCTATACAGTTAAAAATCCAAATCCAATAGATTGTAAAATCTAGGAGTACAGAAGACAACAGGACTTTCACCAAGAGACAGAAAATGGTTTTTACAAAGCAGTTTCATTATTATACTATTTGATATTTAGGATAATTCAATGCCAAGTAATTAAATCATTTTAGACTAACTTACCAATGGCTTTTGTATAATGCCTTGCACCAAGCAAAAGTTCTGGAGCCCGATACCAAAAAGTCACAACTACTGGATCCAAATCTGCTAGTGGCTTTAGAGGAGAATTGAATAATCTGGCAAAACCCATGTCAGCTAAAAAATAAAATAAATTAACGTGAAACTCAGTTTGGCATGATATTAAAAGCATACAAAGTTGATGACAATAGTTAGCACCCTTATACAGCAAGCCTTTTCCTCCATTTTCAACCCGTGGTCTGTACCAGGCACCAGATCTCCCCTTCTGAGATAGATACTATTATTGTGATAGTATCTGATGAAGAAACTGAGGCTTAAAGATATTCTGACTTGCCCAAGGTCACAGAACTACTAAGTACAGAGTCAGAATGAGAACCAGGTCTGGTTTCAGATTCCTGTCTTTCAGAGACAGCCACAATAATATTCTTAGATTTTTAAATTGAAAGATCAAAATACAATTTGAAAGATAATCTAAGTTTCAATGATTAATTATGACTTCTGTAAGACTAAACATGGACTAAATCTTAGGTCAGTGTATGCTAAAATCAGTTCTTTTGGACTCATGAGAGCTGACTGGTACATATCTAGTCTCAACTCTGAGTTCAGTGACATCATGTTGGTGCTTGAAATTGGCTGTGGTGAGAATATTTACATCATGGAAAACAGCAAATGCTACAAATTGGGGCTTCCCCCGCTAGAGAGCCAGTTTTGTACAGTGACCACTACATCACATACATGTTTCCAAGAACATGTAGAGAATGTATGAGATAATTTGTTGTAATTCATCATTTAACAAAGATCTGTATCAAAGCTAACTGATTTGACTATTAGAGGAGTACAAAAGCAGTGAAAAGAATATTTATTACTAAAGAAGGTCCTGGGGACCATCTAATTTTCTTAAGATTTCATAAACAACAAATACTTTACATCTACAAAACACTTTAGAGTTTTACAAACCGTTTTCAGATACATCATATATTACTTCATTTAATCCTCATAAGAACACTGGTTTAATAAGTGTTTTGGTCCCTACTTCTGAGATAGTCTAAGGCCTGAAGCAGTTAAATGACTTGCCCATGGTCATAAAGATACTAAATAAAGATGTCAGTACTCAAACAAAAATCATATTATAATCTAGCAGCTACATTCTTAACCACTGATCTGACATCCAATAAATTATAATATTACAGTTATAATTGCATGTCACAAAGGCAAAATCACAAAAATTATAAACCTCTGTAATTTGAAATACATAATATACACAGTATATTTGTATTATAAGGGGCCCCAAAGTACTATAAAATGCACAATTAGTACATAAAATTTCAACTGCAGAGACTCATTTAATCTAAAACCAATGCTATGATATAACATACATTAAAACTTTAATTTACAGTGATATTATTTCTTGAGAGTTTGAATAATTTATAAGACTTTCTGGAAATGTTTTGAAGAAACCAGGTCTTAAAAAACAAAGCTGTCCAAGGAAGCCTGTGCTAAAGCCTACTCTTCCTTAACTAAATTTCCCTATAGCAAACAAAAATATTCAAACCATTCTACCAATATTATGCCTACTTCAAAGCACTGCTTTATAAATTTAATAGATGCTGCCTGTTGTTGATGGCAAAGTAATCTGATAGAATGCTGTTCCACCCACTGAGAAACATTTGTTTTGAAGTAAAGGCTAAAGCCAGTTTTCTCTCCCCTTGTTTTCTACTTCCTTAATTTTTTGTAAGCCACATCTATTCACTGTCAAATGAAAGACCAGAGGACACAATATACATTCCTGGAAACAATCTCTTCCTATTGTATGAACTTCAAAGAGTTTTATTTTTTTATTATTTTTTTACTACCAGATTGTAGATACAAAATAATTAGCCATGCACATGCAATAAACATTAATATTTCAAGAAAAATGATTTTAAATATAATAATGTTACATGCAATAAACATTAATATTTCAATCAAAGGAGTTTTAAACCATTTTTCAAATACTTACTACTTTAGACAAAAGGTTACAAGCTTAAACATTACTAACAGTTATTTTCCTAAGATTAGATATGAAATTTCCAATTCAGTTGGCATCAGTAGTAAAATTCTGGTGTGGGTGCTAATTGGTATAAAATTATAGAAAACAGCAAAAGACATTGTCTACCACCAAGGAGCTTACATGACAGTGAGATAACAAAATACAGAGGGTAAGTACTGTAAGAAAAGGAACGTTGCTACTGGACTATAAGTCTCTTGAAAGAAGAGCGTAGGTCTCCATGGTTTTCTCTGGAACAGTGTTTGATAAACATTTGTACAAGTGAACTAAACTGAAAGTAGAACTTGAGCTGGGTGCTGAAGGAAGAATATTTGTGAACAGAAAAGAGGGCAATAAGTATTTTAGGTAAGGCCGGGCAAGTCTTTAGGTTGCTGAGGAAGGAAAGGCTCAGATACAGGGAAGGGCACAATGTGTTTCCATTTGACTACGCTTTTCTTTTTGGCCAAAAAGAACTGTATTATAGTGTTAAACATAGGAATCAGAGTATTACTAATTTTTTTTAAATAATGTGTTATTAAAATTTAAAGCAATTTATCAATTATATTGTTTACTTGACCTTTTTTATTAATTTTTATCCCTGGTTTTATCCTTAATCTTGGATAGAATTTCAATCCTAAAACTCTTAATGGTAAAGCTAGGATACAGAATTTTATGTTGAGAAACAGTAGAGCTATTTGGGAGCAGTAAGGAGGAAACATGAAGTTTGGGTGACTGTGCTCAATGTGATGACAGGTACAAACAAGGGAAAGTATAAGAAGATGATGATGAATTTGGTTTGGGATAATGGAGTGCAGGTTGCCAATAGAACACAAATAGAGATAAGAATTCAGCTAAGATGAGAGAATGGAATCTGAGATCCAGATCTTTAGAATAATTCCCTAAAGAAGTAACTGTAGAAGAGGGAAGCCATGTCCAAAGCCAGTGCCCAGGGTGTCTTGAAACAAAAGGTTAATAGAAGAGGCAAAATGAACCAAATATAGAAGTAACAGCAAAAGTGGTATATAGAAAAACAGAATTATATGATGCCATATAGACGAAGAAAAAGTCTCCAGACCAAACTGGTTAGGAGAACAAATAGCTAAGGCAGTAAAGGAAAGCGGTGACTAGATTTGGTAAGACAAAGTTCAAAGGTGTCTTTTTAGAGAGCAGTTTCAATTGAGGAATGGAATTAAGAGGCCAGATTATAACAAATCAGCTTTAGTGGAACCAGTGGGTGAATATGTGTTCTCGAAGTAAAGGAACAAGGTGGGGGGAAGGGGACACAGAACAAATGGTACAGAAAACAAAATGGATAGGACAAGATTTATTTTTAAAGTTGGGAAGAGGACCGTGAATGTTTAAAGGTGAAGAGGAGAAACTTGAGAAGGGGAGACTGGAGATCCCATAATCTAAGGAGCTGAAGGATAGCAGGAAGATTATTGAAGCTAAGAAGGGCACTAGATGGGCCTTCTGAGGGAAGAGTCATTCCTTCTCTGGCAGTTTCAAAGGCAGGGCTGTGCTGACAAAAAGTGGTTGATGAGGTCACACCAGGTAGCTCTGCTGTCACTAGGTAGCAATGTTGGTAGGGAAAGAGACTCTGGACTTGGAATTCAAAGTCCTTCCTTTGAAAGGCTGAACAAGCTACAACCTCTTAAATCCAGCTCTCCTTAGCTACAATATCTGCCATACAGAGTGGTTGTATAAAATAACGAAATAACTAACATATGAAAGTATCTCTCAATCTGGATAGTAAACTGTTTATTTTACTGTCTCTCACAGGAAAGAGCCATCCTTTATCTCCACTTTCACCAGTGTCTAGCAAGAGTAGGTACTCAATACATGCCTATAAGAAAAAAAAACGTTAAGAGTGAGGGAGAAACAAGTGAGGAGTGGTGTAAAGGTGATGGGGCAGGAAGGAGAAGGGGAAAGGGAAGGAAAGCAGTGACCTGGTTCTTAATTAATATCAACAAAACTAAATGACTGAATCTCAGAAATCTCAGAATAGAGGTTTAAAGAAAGGGAAGTTGGTTTAGAACAACTTCTTCAGGGCCTGGGCTGATGTATTAACTGAAGAAGTAGAAGACCAAGCAGCAGGGGTGGCTCAGTTGAAGTGGAACAGAATGAATTTGTAGTAGGTTAAGTTAGCATAACTTTGCACCACCCCTATCATGATATAGTCTAATAGCAAAGACAACAACAGGTTGATGAAACAAAATTTATTTTGAAATCCTTCTAAAAAGCACTGAACATTCAATAAACGTAATTTCTAGTTAAAGAAATTAAAATAAAGCATTTCTTAGCTAATTTTCTACCCAAATATTGTCAGGTATAAATTAATCCTTCAGGGTTGAAAAGGAAATTTTAATATACAGATAAGACTCTTTTCAGTGCCTTAATCTAAGATTAGCAAGTAAGAGGGTCTATAAACTTATATATTCATTTGGAAAAGATATGTTGGTACCTGGCACAGGACATACGTGGGGCAGGGGAAAGATATCTGTGAAGTTCTATATGTATTAGGTGAGAGTGGGAGGGATGTATTTAAGGAAAGAACATTTGGTAAAGCTGAGACAAAAGTAACATTTTTGGGGATTATGTTTAGGGTGACTGTGCAGGACAGTAACAGTGACATAAACACATGCTAGGGATTTTGATTGGGAATGAATTTTTGTGGGCTTGCTTGCCTCAGTTTAGAATTATGAAACCTTGTTTTGGGAATAAACCTGAGGGGTTTTTATTAATATATATTTTTATTGATTTCAGAAAGGGAGGGAGAGAGAGATAGAAACATCAATGATAGAGAGAATCATCGATCAGTTGACTCCTGCATGTCCCCTACTGGGGATTGAGCCTGCAACCCAGGCATATGCCCTTGACCGGAATCGAACCTGGGATCCTTCAGTCCACAGGCCAACGCTCTATCCACTGAGCCAAACAGGCTAGGGCAACCTGAGGGGTTTTATAAACTATCTATCTATATTTCCTAATACCTTTCCTAAAAATATGAGAAAGTAATTTTTAAGTTAACTACTTAAATAAGAGTATTAAAAAGGGAAATCATCTTTGCAGTCACTTCAGTTTCTTAATAAATTATTTTAGAAATAATTACCTACCTATTTTGACTCTCCCCCTCTCAGGACCTTCTCCCATTACTAGGATATTTGCTGGTTTCTAGAAATAAAAATAGAGCATTCAAATTACTATGTTAATTCTTTTGACATGCTCTAAAATGGAAAAAAGTTCTCATAATGTGAAAAAGTTCTTATAATATTCTGTATTTTCAACATAACTATAATCAAATATTAAGTACCTTCTACATAATTAAAGCATTTGACATTTTTAAAGTTAGTCAGCCCTAACTTTCCATAAACAACCTTGCTATGGAAATACCTTATTTTCAAAATTATATCATACAAATAATTACAAATGAATTAAAGCTGTCATTTCTATTTGTCCCACAGAAATAATAAGTAATAATAATGTAAAAACCTGTACAAATTATAACTGCTTGCTGCCCACAACAGTTTTTGTGGTTGAAAAATTTATATAAAATTTCAAACCTCAACATATCACATGGAATATTCCTTGCTAAATATTTCTAAACTACTTTAAGAAAATATGATCAACATTCAACAGATTCCATTAAAATTCATACATGGCTTCAGCTATAGTTCATGCAAAAGTGAGAAATTCAAAATATAATTTCAAGATGTAAGAAAATAAACACCGAGGCTAATACAAAGCTACATAAAGAAAAGAGTAGGCTGCAAATGTATCCACCATCTGTTAAGTCGTCCTCATTTGTAGACATCTGGAAACAGAAACTGCTAAGATAGGGCTTTAGACCAGTGATGGCGAACCTATGACACGCATGTCAGAGGTGACATGCGAACTCATTTTTTTTTGGTTGATTTTTCTTTGTTAAATGGCATTTAAATATATAAAATAAATATAAAAAATATAAGTCTTTGTTTTACTATGGCTGCAAATATCAAAAAATTTCTATATGTGACACAGCACCAAAGTTAAGTTAGGGTTTTTCAAAATGCTGACATGCCGAGCTCAAAAGGTTTGCCATCACTGCTTTAGACAATAAGTCTCCTCTGTAAACTCCATTTCCAAGGTCTTCTCAGTGAAATGGAGGAGTTACAGAGGTGAGTAACATCTTAAAAAAGAAATTAAAATTAGCAGGACTTTCTGACTAGCTGAAGTCAGAAAATTAAGAAAAAGGTTGATAAAGACTGCACCAAGATTTTGAGTTTATCTGACTGGGAAGAATGATGGTGCCTTTATTTTGGAAAAGTTATGAGAAGTACTGGTTTGGGAGTGGGAACAACAAAGAGAAGGAGATGACATATAGAGTTTGAGGAAGGTGAGATGCCTAAGTCAGACTAGCCAGGATAGTGAAAATAGGAAGATTTGGATTTGAAAGTTATTGTCACTAGAGTGTGATAACTGAAGACAAGAGACAAGATTGGTTTACCATAGCAGGAAGAGAAAAATAGCATCAGACAAAAACAGAACGTTCAAAATTCAAGCTTGACAACTATTTATCAAAGATCCGTTATGTATAAAACATTGTATTGGAGACTTTCAGAAAACTTCTTGACTCAAGGAGCTTAAAATCTAGTAAGAGAAGACAGACAGCTTTTTAGAACACAACATATTATGAAAAGTACCAAAACAGCAAAATAAAATGTCAGGAATGAATGATTCTTCTCAATGAATATTAGTCTTTAGCAAGGAGATGGCTTTAGGTGACTAAGGATGACTAAAATTTTGATAAGCATAAACAAAAGAATGACTTTTCAGGCTCAGGACGCCCTATAAGCAAGGGTATGGTCACATAAAATCACAGATATGGCATACTGAAAGAACCTAAAGTGTTTTAATATGACTAGAGCATAGAATGCTCAATGTTGGAAATAAAATGCCACATTAAATAAACTGGAATTTAGCCCAGCCGGTGTGGCTCTGGGGTTGAGCGTTGACCTATGAACCAGGAGGGCACGGTTCGATTCCTGGTCTAGCCATATGCCCAGGTTGCATGCTCGATCCCTGGTGTGGGACATGCAGAAGGCAGCTGATTGATGATTCGCTCTCATCATTGAGGTTTCTATCTCTCTCTTCTGCTTTCTTCCTCTCTGGAATCAAAAATATATGAAAAAAGAAAAAAGAAACTGGAATTTATTCTATAGACTAAGCCAGGGGTGGGCAACCCCTGGCACGCGTGCCAAACATGGCACACCAGTAACTTTTGCTGGCACACGAAACCCTCTCTTATAATCTTCCATTTACAATTTTTTCCGTAATAACGACTTTTTTATTTTTCAGATAAATTCAGTGTAGGTGCATCTTAGATAAATAAATAATTTTACATAACAAGTTATCTTAAAGACCATAGACATGGATTGACGAGAGAGGGGAAGAGCAATTTCTATGCCTCTGTCTTAACTCTCCCTGCCTTCCTAGATCCGACCAGTGTTTTAGTTTCATCCCATACACTTGTGAATCTTTGTTCTCAGTGATGAATTTTGTTAAGCCTCCTAATAGGAGTAGCCTGACGGATGAAAATAGTAGCTCGTGCATATCTCTGAAGGTCACAAAATATAAACCTGATGTAAAATCTCTGTCATCAGTGATGCAGCAGCAAAAGTCCCACTGATAATATCAAACGGAGTCATAAAGTTTTCTGTCGGACTACCAGTGTACATGTATACATTAAAAAATAAATGTATTTTTCATCATCATATACTGTGTTTTTGTCGCTAGAATGAATTTTATTATTTCTTCAAGGTTCTTCACATACGTACACCTTAAGATATATCAAGTAGGCGTAACATGTTCTCAAAAAATTAGGGTTGGCACGCAGAACAATTTTGAGTCAGAGATTTTGCTGGTTTTGGCACGCACTCACAAAAAGGTTGCCCACCCCTAGGCTAAGCCAAGACAGATTAGTGAGGTAATCAGATTTATATTTAGGAAAAAACTCTGATAGCAATACAAAGAATGAATTGGAAGGAATGGATAAACCACAAAGTACAGACAGAGAGACAAGTCGGAAGTGGGCTATAATAGTCTGCAGTGGTTGGCAAACTGCGGCTCGCGAGCCACATGCAGCTCTTTGGCCCCTTGAGTGTGGCTCTTCCACAAAATACCGACTTCTGTGCATGGGCCACGAAGTTTCAATCGCACTGTACGTGCGCGCCCGCACGTGGTATTTTGTGGAAGAGCCACGCTCAAGGGGCCAAAGAGCCGCATGTGGCTCGGGAGCCGCAGTTTGCTGACCACGGGTCTAGGGAAAAGGGCAGGCATCCTAACTTGTGACAATGGTCATTGAGGAACAAATCAGAGCATTTAAGGTAAAAGGTAAATACTTGGCATGGCTTTTTTACACCACTTTCTCCTGCTCTATAGTCATCTATTCAGCAAGTATTGACTGAGCACATACTAAGTATCAGGAGGTGGTTTAGATGCTAGAGATACAGCAGTAAAGAAAACCAGGAAAAATCCTTTTTCTCACGAAGCTTACATTCTAATGGGAAAAGAAAGGCAATAAACAAATGTACAATACATCAGATATCAGTAAGTACTGTGGAAAAAAAACAAAACAAGGAGAATACAAGAAGTTTTCACACCTGGTATTATGGCTGACTAAATGCTCTAGGGGACCCTGTTATTACAGAAAAAACATATGCCACATAAGAAACATTCCTTGAAGGATCCCTGATCTCACAAGAGGTCTACAGTCTCATGCCTCAGCCCAAATAATGTATCCTTGTGGTTGGAGAGTGACAAAAGGCGGGATGGGCCTGAAAGCAGATGCCAATAACAAACACTGACACTTGGGCTACCTACAAAGTGAGGAAGCCAAGCTGCTACCCCACAATCAGCCAAGACTCTCAAGGGGACTAACGTAAACCAAATTGCTAAAAGAAAGCTGGATCAGCTAAGTATTGTCAGACAAAATAGCTTAAAGACAAAATATTACTAGGTGTAAAGATGGTAACTATATAATACAAGGTTCAAATCACCAGGAAGAAGCAAGACTCCTAACTTGTGATGTAATTGAAAAAATATACATAGTGAAAATTGATGTAACTTCAGAGAGGGAAAAGACCAATGACACCATATTTTTCTCAATTACTGGTATGTCAAGCAGACAAAAGATTAGTAAGGTTCAGACTACCCAAAGGACACAATTAGCAACATTGATTTAGCAGTGATATGCACATCATATTACCCATTAATTGGAGAGTACATATTTTTCTCAAGCACACATGAATATTTACAAATACTGATCATGTACTAACAGGTCTCAAGAAATTTCAAGGAACTGTCATCAAACAGGCTATGTTCTCTGATCACAATGCAATTACATTAAGTCAATTATGAAAGTATAAATTAAAAATTCCATATATTTGGAAATTTAAAAATATTTCTAAATTGCCCTGACCAGTGTAGCTCAGTTGGCTGGGCGTCATCCTGTGCACCAAAAGGTTGCTGGTTAGATTCCTGGTGAGGATACATAACCAGGTTATGGGCTCAATCCCTGGTAGGAGGCGTGCAAAAGGCAGCAGACTGATGTTCTGCTCTCACGTCGATGTTCCTCTTTCTCTTTTCCTCTCCCTCTAAAAATCAATTTAAAAAAAATATTTTTTAAATATTCCTAAATCACTTAGAGGTAAAAGGAGAAACTATGAAGAAGTTAAAAATACTCAGAAATCTAATAATGAAAGTACAACCTATCAAAACCATAGAATGCAGCTAATGCTGTACATACAAGGGAAATTTATAGCCTTAAATATTTATGTTAGAAAGGGAGGAATGATGAAAATAATTATGTGCCCAAGTTAAAAAAAAAAGAGAAAAGCTCAACAGAATAAACAAAAATAATGTAGGAATAAAAAAGATAAAGTTTAGGGTAGAAATCTATGAATAGGGAGAATTTATGAAGACTCTAGGACAGTGGTTCTCAACCTTCTGGCCCTTTAAATACAGTTCCTCATGTTGTGACCCAACCATAAAATTATTTTCGTTGCTACTTCATAACTGTAATGTTGCTACTGTTATGAATCGTAATGTAAATATCTGATATGCAGGATGGTCTTAGGTGACCCCTGTGAAAGGGTCGTTCGACCGCCAAAGGGGTCGCGACCCACAGGTTGAGA